GCCCTTTGGAAAATTCAACATTGCTTCCATGTAGAAACTGAACACTGGGAGGAAATCCCCCTTGTTTTTACATTATTGGAAATGTTGGAAAAGTGGGGGACTTCTAAGCTAATCTTAAACCAGAGTGACATGTCAGGTCTTTAGGCATAATGCTTAGTGTTGGCTAAGTGCATTTGCTAGAGCTCTTTGAAAAAAAAAGAAAAAGAAAAAAAGCTACTTGGCAGGATGTATCATGACCCATAAAAGAAGATTCTAACCTTTTACCCACTAACTTTACTTCCAGGAATTTATGCTAAGGAAATAATTGGTGACACAGGCAGTGATCCTCTACAAGGATATGATAGCAGCACTATTTATGCTAGCTAAAAGGGGATCGTGATCTGGATGTATACACAGTGAGAATGGCTACATAAATCAGGTATACTGTGCAACAGAATGCCCTGTAGCCACTGAAAAATGTGCCAAAGCCTACTAAATGATGTTGGAAATCCTTATATTGGGGAACCTAAAAAATAGCCTGTTAGCCATGTATATAATATTATGCTAAGATTTTTCTCATCAAAACAATGTTTTTATTTTATATACCTATCCCAGTTCTCCCTCCCTCCTCTCCTCCTTCCCCCACCCACCCCCATCAACTCCTCAGAGAGGATGAGGCCTCCTATGGGGAGTAAACAATGTCTGTCACATCACATTGAGGGAGGACCAAGGCTCTCCTCCCCTCCCCTTTATCTAGGCTGAGCAAGGTATCCCTCCATAGGGAATACACTCCAAAACGCCAGTTCATGCACTAGAGATAAATCCTGGTCCCACTGCCAATGGCTCCTTAAACAGTCACCCACATTCAGAGTGCCTAGTTCAGTTCTATGCAGGTTCTCCAACTGTCAGTCCAGAGTCAGTGAGCTCCCACTAGCTCATGTCAGCTGTTTCTGTGGGTTTCTGTGTTATCACTCCTCCCTCTTTTCAACTGGACTATGGGAGATCAGCCCAGTTTTGCTAAGATGGTAACAGTGATTATCAGTTGTGCAAATTATATAAGACTTCATTGCTTTTTTTTTTGTTTTAAGTATTTTTCTGTTTTTCTGCAAAGCCATAATTTGGCTATAAGAATTTAGAAACATTAACTTTCTTCCATCCCTAGCTCTTGTGATGTGGATTGAACCCAAGGCCTTGTACATCCTAGATAAACATACTACAGTGTACATCCCTAGCCCAAGATAAACTTTCCTTTTATTGGTGACCTTATGTCTCCAGTAAGTGCATCCTTTATCTTATACAAGCTGTATAAACTGGTGTGAAGACCTGAAAGGGTCTGCTGCATCTCTATTGGGATTGGGAGTCTGCCTGGATAGCACTGTACACAACACACAAGGCCAGCGTGCCCTAGCTGGTACATCACACGTTCCATCATTCAAGTGAGTCACCACAGAAGGGTGTTGAGCTGATGACATTACTACACACTGTACTTGAACTATCAGCCACAACCTCACACGCTGCCAGGCCTTTGGCTTATCTTCCTAAACTGTTATTCTCTACTGTGCAGAATGTCAAAGGAACTGCCTAGGCTGACAAGCCCTTTTGAGGACACCATGGGCTGGCACACTACAGCTGATGTGCGCCTTCCAGTTGCAGACAACTCAGGCCAGCAAGTGTTCCTTCCATTCTAAAGTTGAAGCTGTTTTGCTGTAGTTGGGCCTTGATGAAGGCTTTGGCAGGACTCCAAGAATATTTAGGGTGAAAAATATGCTGGGTGTTCAGCTGGGAAATACCCAGCTGGGCTGAGGGTTGTAAGAAATCTTTAAGGGTCATCTGCTAAAACTGGAGTTAGAAAGTTATTTCCTCCTGTTTTTAACCTTGATTGTTTGTTTTGTTTGGCGTTGGCAATGGGAAAAGAATCGAGAATTTCTTATTGGAGGTTTTAGGGGCCGAAGTGAAACTGACCCATGTTTGTTGGCCTGATTTGTTTGGGATTGTTATGGTGTGAGAGTTTTTGTTTGTTTGTTGTTATCTCTTGTCATTTTAAGCAGTAACTGGTAACCAGTCAGTGCTGTAATGAAAAGGAAATTGATGGTTTTGCACACATTGGCTATCACCATCATCCCTGCATATCTTAAGTCCCTCTTGTCTGTTGTATGAGTGCCATCAAAGCTAAAAGAGAGTTTCTCAGTGTCTCTTAGATGGTCACTTCTGTGTATACACCCTTCTGTTATAAAGCATTCTTCAGTATATAAAACAATGTGGACTGGAGTTGTTGATAGGGACATTTATGATGTGTCTTTGAAGTACAAATGAAAAGCATAATAGCTTCAGTAGTTAAAAACATCATAAAAAGTACTGCGGAGTATGTAATTTATTATTTCATGAATGCCAGCACAGTGGTAATGGATTTTAAACTGTGGTCATTTCATAGCAAATAAATGTTATTGCTATGACTAAAACAAACAAATAAAATACCATTTAGACATTAAAAAGTGCAGTTAATATTTATGGCAGTTGACATTCGACATGAAAGAGTCAATTCTTACAACAGTTATGAATGCCCTGCATTCCAACCTCACACACAGATAATTTCAGACATCTTTTCCTGATCAGGAACTGCTGAGGTGTCTTAGGATGTACAACAACATTCAGAACCCCATATTGTATTCCCAGAGTATGCCTCCTATGCAGATGAGATAGGGAGGTGGAGGTGTTTTCGCAATGTGGAAGTGATAGTAAACTATTTTGTAGATCCTTTTGAATTGTCTTGTGGTATTGCCACACAAACAGACTAGCCCAGGCCTCTGAGCCCAAGTTGTTCTCTTGACCCTCCCCTTGTCTCACTTAGTTTTCTGGTTTGGGCCATGATTCAGGAGACCTTTCCAGGCCTTCCTGACAGCCACATTGGTAGTAGAACAGAGAGAGGACTGAGAAAATGTGACCTCAGTTGACAGCACAAGTACTAAGGAAGCATAGGTGATATACAGATGTTCCTGGAACCAAAGTGAGAGTCCCCAGGAGTCGATGCTAAACTCATCGTATAGTAACTGGTTTCCCACCAATGGTTCTTACTGTCTCCGTTGCTGATTTTCTTTTTAACCCATTACATATTGTCAAATATATTTTAAGCTCTTGAAAGCCAGAAACTTTGGCAAGTTGTTCTTACTGTCTTGCTCATTCTGGGTGCTCCCCAATGGGTCTTTGGTGGATTGAAATCTACTCTTTGAATTTCATTTCTTCCCTTGTATGAATCGAATCTGCTCCAGGAGTCTACCAGACAGGACAATGGAGGCAGGACTGTGGAATCTATTGGAATTCACTCTGGGTTGAGTCTTCCTGAGTCTGCTGCTGTAATTCCATTCTCCCTTGCAAATGTAGGCATCTGAGGGAAACTCATAAATCACTGACTAAGAGAATCATTAATGCTGTGCCTATGTCTGTTAAGCTTTTCAGGGCCTAGAGGAGCAGAGTAAGGCTTACTTTCCCAGAGACAGAACACTGGCAATGAGAGCCCAGGCTTTGGATAGGGGCATTGAATGAATCTTGGCTCTGGCACTTAAAAGGCTGGCAAGCCTTACCGTAGACCAGGGTTTCACATCTGTGAAATGGAAATCCAAGCAGTGCCTGTCTGTGGGCTTGTTAGGCAGCTTAACGAGAGCCACTAGTTTACTCACTAGTTATCGCTTTGATACCTACAGGAATTACAGAGACAGTCCAATTACAGCAAATGGAACAAAACGCCCTCCCTTATAGGATACATATGCTAGAAATACAATGCTCATGGTATTTAATAAATGTTTAATCAGATTCATTGGAGGATATGAACTTCATGGAGTTTTCTTTGAATGCTTCCACAGGTCTTCATGTTACAGCATTTTGTAAACATTTATGTTTGTACACACACACACACACACACACACACACACACACACACACACACACACACCACATTCAATACCAGTATCAGGTCTGAACTGGTGTAACCCTAGTTCAGTCCCTTATATAGGACATGGATGTATTCTTGCTCAATCCCTACCTGCAGCTGTTGTCTTGTATATTTCACCCCTATAAAGAGCTTTGTTTGAACAGTCCAGCAGCCTACTAAGATTCAGGGACTGAAGGTAGGTATGGCTAACTAGTCTCCACATCTTCTCAGCCATCTGTTTCTGTGACATGATGTGATTTTACCTAGGTTCTAAGGTGTTTGCATAATCTGCGGAAATAAGTCAGATGGCCAATATGGCCAATTAAAATCTACCAACCAGACTGTGGTAATTTCAACCTTCTCTCTTCAAATCTCTGGTCAGCTTCCTGTCAAGCAATAAAATGGACAAATTTGAGGTTTTGGATCCTTTGGAAAAAGTGTGTTTTCACTGAGGCTGTTCTTTGAGAATTCAAATCCACAAAAGAAAAAAACAGGCCTGACAGCATGCCCCCAGGGAACTGCACACAGCCATCTCTGAAAGGTGTATGTCCATCCAGCCTCTGTCCCCTAGTGTGTTCCTAATGCACACTCGGCTCTCCAATGGCACATAGCTGGTGTAGTTTAAAATGTAAACAGGAAATTGTTTTCTGGCTGAATGGCCTTTGTGGCCCAGGAAAATACTCATTTCTGCTGAGACGTAACTTTGAAAGCACGCAACAGTGAAGGCTAAAGACTGGCTGAGAGTGAGGTCAGTGTGCAACACAGAAAGCAACAAAACACAGAGATATGTGGGTCCAGCTCATGTTCACCAGTGACTAGTGGTACAGTAGATAATGGAAAAGCTTGGGTCACCTAGAAAGCAGTCGTGAGTTGGGGCAAAGGGGCATGTTTGTACATCAAGACATCAGGGCAAATGCATTCCTTGGAAGATACAAAGGACTGACCTGGAGCACGGAGATTTGGCAGCATGCCTCTGGACTCTGGTCCTCCTGTGTTCTGCTGCAGCACCCTGTCATTTGGCCTCCCATGAACCTCCTGTGCTCCCATTGTGGTTTCCCTATGTGCTGATGAGTTTTTTGGTTGTTATGTCTTGCAGCCCCCCGAATCCAAGCCCAACTTCACCCCTCTCGCCATCATGGCCCATGTTCTCGGCGCCATCCAGCCCTATGCCCACCTCATCCACGTCCAGCGACTCATCCCCCGTCAGGTCTGTTGCAGGGTTGGTTTGATTTTCTGTTGCTGTTGTTCTCTCATTGGCTTGGTCCTCTCTTCATGCAGTGTTCAGCCTCCTCTTCAACTTTGTTCCCTGCCATCCAAACCTGCACTTGCTTTTTGACAGGCCAGAAGAAGCGGTCCATGAAGACTCCAGGTAAAACCACGGATGGTGACTGACCTGTTCCCGTTCATGCAGAGCTGGTCAGGGACATTGGGGGCCTCCTCTGCTCTCATGTGATTCCATGCTAAGAAACGAAGCCAAGAGGCACAATCTGCATGGCCTTGCATGGCGTTTTTAATATGCTTTCTAACCCTTACACACATTTCTGAATTAATCTCTGGTGCTTGGATTTGGGGAATGGGGATCTCCAAACACAGCACTCCTATGTTGAATTGTTTTCTGAACCATTTGAGCTCTCCATGTTTTGTTTGAAAATAACATCCTAGGGAGCAGTGTTGAGACACATTCTGGTCTTCCCTTGTCACATGTTTGTCAGGTAACTAACATCTGGTAACGCTTGCTTGTGGGTTGGACCAGTAGCCCTGAGCACTGACACCGAGTCACAGACCAAATCCACTGAGTGAGAGCAGAATACAACACCGAGCAAAAGACTGAGACTCGAAGCACTTGCTCTTTCAATTGCTTAGGGCTTCTGCCTCCCTATCCTCCACTCCATGTACTCCAGGAATCCTCTGGCCTCCCAGACCACTTCTGTCTCTGTAGGTCAAGAACCCTGAGTGCTCCTGGAAACAGGCACCACCTTTTTTTTTTTTTTTTTTCTTTTCTGAGAGTGAGTGGCTTGACTTAGTTTTTCTCCCAGAGGGCCATGCTTCAGTCCTGTCTGGGAGAGCTCCACAGCTAAGTGCCATGGGTTTGCTCTTGAGCTCTTTCTAGAAAAGAAGCTCTTCAAATCCAGGGAAAGGTGGAGTAAAGATCCTACAGGCATCTTTTGCTGTATGGGCCCTTGCTGGGCAGCTCTCCTGCCTTCAACAAGCCAGAGCTCAGGGGCCAGGTAGAAGCATCACAAGCATTCTTGATTTGGATATGAATTTGCATACTGCCTTTTCTCCTTAGGAGTGGGTCCATCAGAGAGGGTTACCTCATTTATAAAACTGACTCTCACCGTTTAGCGAAGCCATGCTATCTGCATATATGGGCACATGACTTTATTCTCTTTGGGCATTTTCACATCCATTGTGTCATTCTATATTCATATAAGAACAAGAAGAGAAATGGCATGAACCAATTTGTGGAAAAGAAAATGCTAACTTCATTAAATGAGAGTCAGGGCAGAGTTAGGAGTTCTTGCCATCTGCCCAGTATTTTTATTCTAAAGACCTGGCCAGCCCAGTTGAGATTCTGTGCCATTTCAGCCCTTGGCTCTGCTGGATGAGACATGGCTTTCTACCTAGCTTGGTTCTGGATGATGGGAAAGATGGTTGTGCAGTATATTTATTTTTGTCCTTACCCCGTAAATAAAATAAAAGTTAGATCCTGTTTTCCTAACACTTTAAACTATTCATGAATTATTTCTTAGGCAACTGCTAGGCACTTTAGGAGATATTTACTTTCTAACACACCACAAACCATCTGGATTATTCCAGGTAGGTCCCTCATTGACCCATGAGGACCTGGAGTGGAACAATTACAATGGCTCATTTACTTACTAAATAGTATTGGGCATTAGGGGAATGGGGCTGACCTACAAGCATGTAACTAGTTACTCAGTACTGCCCCCTCTGGCATCTGAGGGCACCATTATGATGGTGTCCCACAATCCTTTAGGAATGTGTCATTTTGAAACAGGCCAGCCATAGTAGGGCTTGAAATTGGATGTCACTGAGTTACATGTTTATGCTAGGATAAGCACAGATCAGAACCCTGCTGGAAAGGTAGCCCACTGGGAGACCAGGAGTGGGTTATAGTCCCTAATTGCTATTACAGTGTATAACCAAGAAAGAGGTGGGGGCATACATCCATTGTTCAGGTCTAGTGTCCCCTTTCCCCAAATTGACTAACAGAACATAAAACTTCTAGTTTCTTTCCTTTGGCAAGGCTTTTAACAACAGATTCGGAATGGGGACTAATTAGGGGTCCTGGAAACCTCTGGAGATGGCTTCCTCTCTCCAGTCAGTCTACCTTTTGATCTTCTTAATTCAAGCTCAGAAGAAGAGGTGCCTTTTACAGCCCAGAAGAGATGGGCACTGGAGGAAGCCCCCTTTAACATGTGCCCTTGCCTTTTCTATTTGCCCATCCACTTCCCAAGATGCCCCTCATTGGACCCCTTATTTGCATTTGCTCTTGGGCCCTGGGGAACTGCCTTAATGATCAAGTCACCACAGGCTGGCCCCTCCTCCAGTAGCGTGCACCAGGGAGAGTGGGTTGTCATTTTGCAAAGCTTGCAAGGGCATTTGAGGGAAATTCCTCTGAGTGTTTTCCTGGCCTCATTCCATGCTCAGAGGCAAAAATTAAAAGTGAACCAGCAGCAAGTTCCAAAGTTGCTCATGCCCTTGAAGGGCCAGCCGAGAGATAAAGAATGCTGTGATGGGAATGGCTAAAATCTCCCCAAGCTGTGTCCAGTTGCAGAGTAGGGAGCCAAACAACCAACAGTGCTGGCTTCAACCAGAGCCAAAGCTTCTCAACCCCAAACTTTGGCTAACAGGATCTATCTGTTTTAGTAGGAACCCTTTACCTAAAGCAAACCCCTTAGGCTTACAGTGATGGCAGACTTTTAGCAAGACTTGACTTCACCAGTTAGATTTGCCAGATATGCAAACGGAATAAAAATATAACCTACACATGGTTAAATTTGAATTAACGATATAAAAATAAATTTCTTAGTGTATGTGTATCTTATGGAGATACACTTTAGAAATATGCATCATTCATGTGAAATTCAGATTTGACTAGGTATCCTTTACTTTCTCTGGTGACCTTACTCTGGGGTATGGGAACACCCCCCCCCCTTTTAAAATCATGCCCTATAGTGTTAGAGAAGCAGATGGGTGCTTGCCTACAATATCTATGGCACCCTATGTTTGATCCCAGCACTACGGTGTGTGTGTGTGTGTGTGTGTGTGTGTGTGTGTGTGTGTGTGTGTGAGAGAGAGAGAGAGAGAGAGAGAGAGAGAGAGAGAGAGAGAGCGCTCTTATGTGCACATGTATACATGAAAACATACATAAGCACACCCATTCTAGATCCCCCCTCTATTTTTGTGCACCATTAGGCAGTTGGGGAAGATCTTCAGTTGTCAATTACCTGTTAGAGGAAAAACAGACTCTCTCATGACCTTCATTTTGACTTTTAATTCACTGTTTTCTTGGCATTTCATTTCTAAATTACAAACTTTTAACATTGGTGGAAAGTTAATCCCTTCTAAAATAGTTATGGGTGCTAGAGACCATGGTCTGGGCTGCCTTGTGTCAGACAGTCCTACTAGTTTCCTGGGCTGCTCCTATTCTGCCCCTTTACTTTATTTAATAAGGTTGATAAGAAGCCTCTAAGGAAACCCCATCCAGAGAAATCTTGCGTTCCCTGCTCTCTTCACACTGTGTCCACCTGTGCTGCTCTGTCCTCAGAGGCAGTCTGCCTCAGCCTGGTCTCACCCTTGCATCCCATGGCCTGGATTCTCCTTCTACCCTGTATGCCATGCAAGGCTCCACAGGCTTGACAGTATAATGCTTGACTATTTTAGCCCCTTTCACAGCCTCCTGGCTGTCCTTCACCCCGTGGTCAGGGCAGGAGGTGGGGAAAGGTGTACACTTCTTGTCCACCATGAAGAACTGCACAATGATTGCTGGGCCCTTGCTAACTAACATGAAGGTTTATTATTTAATGAGATTAGACCAGAAGAGCTGTTTTCCAGCTGGAACTGATGAAAACCAAAGGCTTTTCTCTTCATCCCCAGTGTCCCTGTATTATTTTCTTCCCCTCTCCTAGTTCTCCCCTTCCCAGCATCACCCCTTGGATGTAAGAACACCAGAGAAAGCTAACATAAACTGTTATTCCCCTGGCAACAGTCTGGATACCCAGAAATTCTTCTCACTGTATTGTACAATATACTTGTTCAACTGTCTGTTTTTCCGTTTGCACGGACCCATGATTAGAAAGAATGGTCCCACTCTCAGCTCCCGTCATCCATGACTCATCTTTCCCAAAGAGAACATGCACTTGGTATCCCAGGATGCTCTACCTCATCTGAGACCAGACCCCTCTCCAGCCACTAGAAATCAGTGTACCCCAAGAGCTGGACATTTCCAGCTCTGGGAGGCACTCGGATTGTCAAGTGAAGATCAATTCTATGACATGCATCCCTTGGCTGATTTCTTACTCCAGAGGCCCTCTGGCTTTTTAAAACTTGTGCTTCTGAATTCCAGAGTGCATTCCTTCAGATGACTTGGAGTAGAAAGTCACTTGTGGCGAATAAAGAGCAGCCTTTTGACAGTTAGATGTTACTTTGACCAGTGAGAAGTCTACAGAGTGCAGAGAAGAGTGTGGGGCCAAAGTCAAACTTGACAGGAGAGAGTAAAATTACCCTGCTCACAAAAGACACAGGCTTGCACATTACCATTTCTGATGGTCACAGCCTTGTGGACAGAAGGTTCAAGAAACTCCGTCATCACAGGCGCTGCACCTATTTTCTGGTAGATAGCTTTTTTTACAGAAACACCGCCTCACTGTTTTGTTTACATGTTGTCCTGGCTGCTGTGTGCCATGCAGCATGAATTAGTTACAGCAGAGACCACATGCCTTCAAGAGCCTAAAGATTGGCCCTGTTACTGCAATGTGCCAGCCTCGACTCTGGCTGTGTGTGATCAACACTTGGAAGGTGACACACAAACACTTCAGTTTCAATTCTATTTCTTACAGTTCTATAAGCAAGTTGGTAGGACATGTAAATGCTCTCAAGGGCATTCTGATAACATGGAGGGGGAGATCATTGTCAATATTCACTGAACAAGAGAACCCAAAACAGGACACAAACTCCACCTCTGTCCCTTCCTTCCTCACCCCCACCCCTTGCAAACTCCCACACTGGTGCACGTGTGTTCTCACACACCACCTCACGCTCCTCCTCCATCCTTGCCTGCCCTGGGGCTAAAAAGTTCCAGCTCTGCAATGCTGTCCCACCAGCAATGGAGAACATCTGGGGGAACCTGTGTCCACCCCCGCCCTTGCTGAAACCTGACTCTTCTGGAGTTTCTCCTGGATTCACTGGGCTTTGGCAACTTCCAAGAACAACTGTTGGGAATACCCTGCAGAGCGCTGTGGCCCCTTCCCATCCCCAAGCACTCTGTCCTGAAAGCTCCTCCCTGCCCTCCCAGGCCCAGGTGTTGTAACTCCCAGGTAAAGTTTCTCTGGGGCACAAGGTGACCTTGGAGAAGTGTGGCTTCTTAGAGCCTGTGGCCTTTCCCTGACTCTTTCTCAGTTCTCTCCTGTGGCCTTTGCGACTTCCCCACCTCCAGTTTTGCCATCTGGCTGCCCTGACGAGACTCTTCCCAGGAGAGAGGACGAAGTGCCTTGCAAGGAAAGGGAAGAAGAAAGATGAACTGTCTGTGGCTTTCAGGGTTGAAAACAATGTTAAATAAACTCCCTTTCCACACAGCACACCGTTCCGGAAGGCAAAGGCCTTGTATGCCTGCAAAGCTGAACACGACTCTGAGCTCTCCTTCACGGCAGGCACCGTCTTTGATAATGGTAAGTTTCCCATCACCTCCCAAAAATGGAGGGGAAGCAGAGGAGTGAATTTCCTACCTGGGGCAAGGGGATCTTTCCCCAAAGGAAAGGCATTACCCTGGGTAGACCCACATGGACATCAAGTCAGTGAGATGTTTGTAATTCTGAGTGAGATTATACCTGGCCTTCGTGTTTCATATTTGTGAGCCTGTCAAAGACAAGGGAGTGGAATACAAGGTGGTGGCAATTGCTCAGAGACACAGGATGGGCTTAAGGTCACCTGTTCTGTCATGCTTCCCCCTTGGGGTCTTGGCCTGCTTTGTTTTCAGCAGCAGGCAAGGCCCACTACCAGACAGCCAGGTGGACAGTAAACCTCTTCTTCCTGCTCCTCCCCCCTTGAACTTGAGAGCACACAATGGATTCCCTCATGTGACATCACAGGGCAGCAGCAGCCTGCAGTGGCATTCTGCTGCAAGAATGAATTGTAGCACTCCATAAAACTGTGGTTCTGATGCACCATCATCCCTTTTCTTTTCCATCTTCCTCCCTAGAAACTTATTTTATAGTGAGAAGTGAAGCTGAGGTTTGAGCTAATTATTTACCTAAGAGAAAAATCTGAACCCCTGTGCAAACACCAAGTTTCTTTGAAGGCTGTTTTCCTTGGGTAAAGTTCTTCAGGGTTAAAGCAGTTAGTTCAGTTTGTTTCAAAGGAAGCCAATAAGTCCACAGCCTGTGTCCCGATATTTGTTCTGGCTACCCCTTGCCTCAGGTGGGGTGAAGGCAAAGGTCACACAAATCTGGCCAGGCACTCCTGCCTGGCCCTACACTGCCTCTCCCCATGTGACTGAGAAGTGGCAGAGAAGTGTAGGACAGCTGAGATGCCTACCCAGCACAGGAGAGCCTGAACCCTAGAGCCAGGCCATGTGCATGTCCCAGTCTGACCACTTGCTCTGATGTGACCTCAATCAGGGACATCACTTCTCTGTACTCTGATTTCTCTTCTCTGTCACAGCAGATAACACACCTCCCTTACAGCTGTGGTAAAGGGAAATCAAGCTAATGTATAGCGTGCGTTTAAAAGAGTACTTAACAAATGGGAGGTATTCAGTATGCTGTCCTTATGATTGTCAAGGCCTTGTAACCATCTTAGAAAAACACCATGGCAATGTGATCTGTTAACAAGGATGGCTTTTCCTTTTTTGGCTAGCATGGCCCTATCCTGACTTGTCTACCAGCTAGCTGTAGGCATTGTTTATGTCTTCAGAACCTGCAGTCACATCTAGAGTGCCTGGCACCAGGTGTGCCCCACACGCTGCATTCTGACCACCTCTTAGTCAGGCATGAGTAGGCACAGTGGGAAACACAATGCAGAGAGATTTTCCAGACATCCTGGGCCAGCAGAAACTGGGACAAATTTGAAACTACATGTGTCCTGATGAGCCTGTGGTCCACCTCCATGTTTCTAAGTCCAAAACACTATACTGAAAGCTTTGGCTCTGTTGACTTTCTTCTTGTTACTTTACAAATCAGAGCACATAAAGTAGTTAGTGCAGCCACCTCTGTCCACAGCTGATGTTTGCAATCCTAGCAGGCCAATAGCATGTACAGAGGATCTGCCAAAGACAATCCCAAACTGTGCCATGGCGAGTGTGCCCTGCACAGACCAAACAAGGTGCAGTTTCCCCCAAAAGGCAAATTGGAATGGTTGTCACTACTGGGGCAGGTGTACTCCTGACATGGGTGAGCAGTATACTCAGAGTTATACAAGTCTCACTACTATCTAATTCCAGGAAAACACACACACACACACACACACACACACACACACACACACACAGGATAAGCCCCATACCCTTTAGCAATCATGATGCTTTACCTCTAAACTTTGGATATTTCATACAAATAGAATTACATACTATGTGATCTTTGTATTTTTTTTCAATGATGTTTCTCAAAGATAATCCATGTTGCATAACGTGCACCTGCACTTTATTCCTTTTTACGGCCAGGTAGTATTTCATCATATGGCTGCACCACAGATTACATAAAATCCACTAGTGGGATAGCTTTTTGTCACTTCTTCACTGTTAAGAATGATACTCTATTGACATTCATGTTTGGGTGTTTCTAAAAACTAAGCTCTCTTGGGATTGCTGGGTCACATGGTAACTCTAGATTTACTGCTTGAGGAAATGCCAGACTGTTTTTACAAGGAGCTTGAACCGCTATGTGTCCCCTCCTCTTTCATTTTAAGTTGCAGTTTTGAAGCAGCTTATGAAGTAAACAACAACAAAAAGTCAGGCAATCGCTACCCCCCCCGTGAGTCTGACTTGCTGGCCTTCCCTTCCCTTCCCTGTGGTCAGAGTGCTCTGCCCAGCAGGTGCTGAGTCTACTCCTGCCACCAACAGGTGACCTTCATAAAATCCTCTAAAGATAGGCACTTGTAGCAAGAAAGTGGTTTAGTTCCCTTCCCACGAACTCCTGTGATCTCTGGGGTTCATCAGAGTTCTCCAGTGGTGACACTACCTGCATGCATGTGACCAGGATACACTCATGCCAGGATACACGTGGAGTCAGAGAACATTTCTTTTTTTAACTTTCTTTTTATTCAATCTGTGTCTGTCACATCATGCATCTGGTTCCATTCATTTTCTGTCCCTTCATATCCACCCTCTGTCCTTGCAACCTCTCCACCCCCACAAAAATAAAATAAAAATTGAAGAGAAAGAATGAAAATAGGAAAAACTCAGTCTCATCATGGAACTGTAGTGTGACACAGTCACACAGTAAACCCTTTTATCCATATATCTTTATTTGCATATGTTCATTGCAAAGAGTCATTTGTCTAGTTTGGGGCCTCTGGTTTCTACTACACTATCAATTTTGCACTCACTGGGACTCTTAGATATCTTGTTGTTGCCCTGTGTCGTGGAGACCCTGCAGCTTCGGGTCTGCAGGACCAGTCCCTTCACGTGCTCCAGCAGATCATAGATGGGGTGAATGTTGGTGAGGGCCAACTCATAACCCTGGTTCTGAGCCTGGGTAATTGCAGAGTTAGTCAGCTCACCAGCTCTCTCCTGTCCTCACCACTAGGGTGAGCGCTTCAGGTTTGCCCTGGCTAGTTCACCCACCCCTTACAGCAATAAGAAAGGGGAGGGGCCAGTTCTGCTTTCATGCCCTCAGGGTTTGACTCTCCCACACTTAGACCATCAGGGCCAGCTCTCCTGTGTTGCCCAGGCAAGGGGCAGTGGCCACTCTCCCGAGTGCTGCAGCACATGAGGGCCAGGGACAGCTCTTCCATTCTTACCATCTCAGGGAAAGCTCTCCCACATGCCACAGGTGGTAAGGGGCAGAGGGAAGGGAGGGCAGAGGGCCTCTCTCCACAACACATATACCACCATATGGCAGATGAAGGTCAGGTCGAGATCGCTCAAGCTCACACTCAAGGGCCGGTTCACCAGCACCCTGTCAGTAGGGTCAGCTCAGGTGAGGTGCCAGGCCTACTTTCCTGAGTGCTGCAGCTGGTAAGGTCAGCTCCCTCCCTCAGTAAGGGGTCAGGGCATCTTTCCCTGGCCCTTACCACCACATGGAAGGTATGGCCAGCTATACCACTCTCACACCCTCAGGACCAACAGGGTCAGCTCTGCTGTGCTGCCTGGAGGAGGTACAGGCTGGAAGCTGGTAAAAGGGAGGGTCAGCACCCTGGATAGCTGTAGGTGGTAGGGGCGAGGGGGGGGAGCATCTTTCTCTTGCCCTCACTGTTACACCACAGATGAGAGAGGTGGTACCAGCTATGCACCTCTCATGCCCTCAGGACTGGCTCACCCATGCCCCTGGAGAACAGTTCTGCAGTCAAGTCTTCCACCTTTTTGTGAGGCAGGGCCTCTCTTGTTTCTCCTGTGTGCCGCAGACTCCAGTCTAGCTCTCAGCCAGCTCTCATTCTGCCTCCCATCCTACCAAAGGAGTTGGGGAGCCTACCATAGGAGTTTCAGAAGCCCACCACCACCTTGGCTTTTAACTTAGGTTCTGGGAATCAAACACAGGCTTACACATCAAGTATTTTTTTCCTTGGAGCTGTATCCCTGGCCCCTGACAGAAAGGCTAATCCACTTTTGTTGGAGCTGTATCCCTGGCCCCTGACAGAAAGGCTAATCCACTTTTGTGTCTGTTTTGCCTGGTAAAATTTCACCGGGTCCTATTCTAGAAGGAAAAATCTACATTTGTTCTGTCAGAGAAATCAGGTGTTATAGAAAGAAATAATTAAGATATTAGGTGAAGAAGTGGCCTTTTCTGACTGTTCCCTCCTACAGTGATTCTGGAGAGAGAAGGTAAACCCAGTGTAGCCTGGTTGCTCTCTATAGCTGTAGTTAAAGCCTCCTACTGACAGTTTTTGACCATGTAAGCTTTTGTCCTGTGTGCTGTATTTTGCATGTGGAATAGGGAAGAGAGTTGGGGCCTAACTCTGCTGCATTGTAACCAATGATCACTCAGCCTTGGGATTTCAGGGGCCCAAACTTCAGCTCGGGGGCAGCTGCTCTATTAGCCCTGGACTCTATGTAGCAGAGGATTGATGTGCAATACTGGGAAATATCTCCAGTGTCATCTGTTGCCAATCTACCAGGAAACTGTCCACTCTGCTAGGAGCACCTCAGACAGTAACTGGAAAGAGAAGTAATTTGTGTTCTCAGGAACATTAGTCACGAGGAAGCAGTGTGATTTGTGATACCTAGAAAATTCACACGGCAGTTGCAAAAATTGGGTTCTTGGCATACTCTTTTCAAGTTTTGAGATGAGTATCTGACAGACAGATCTGTAGGTAACATGGTTGCTATATGGACATGAGAGCCTGAGTCCTACCCCTAGTGCCCTTGTCAAAAGTCAGGTGTAGTAGTGTACCTGTAATCATAGTGCCAGGGATCCCTAGAGCTTGCTAGCCATCCACCCTAGTCAAATCCATGGATTCCAAGTTCAATGAGAGACCCTGTTTCAAGAAATAAGGTGGACACCAACTGAAGAAGAAACCAATACTGGTCTCTGGCTTCTACAAACACATGCATACACACATGTGTGCCTTTGCAAGCAAACACACACACACACACACCACATGGAAGGTATGGCCAACACACACACACACACACACACACACACACACACACACACCCTTGAGATGAGCTGGATTTTTCATTGTGATATACAACAAGACACCATTGTTAAGCCAGAGTTCCTCCCCTCCCCCAGCCTTTCCAAGCATCAGTTTGTATCATAGTGGATGATGCAGAGGGGAGATGCTGAAGGTTGTTGAGCCAGATAGTTGATAACAAACTGATATGCACTGAAGAGTCAGGTAGGAAAGCATTTTAACAGTTTATTAATAGGAACCATGAACACGATGTGGGATATGCTGTGAATTTTCTACAAATCAGGAGGTGGGGGAGCAGGTAGAACCAAGTCCATAATACTGTTTCTGAAGGAATTGGGGTTTCAGCTGAGCCCTGTATGAGGCCAGAGAACAGATGACAGCAGGAAAGAGTGGGGCATCTGGGCGCCTTCCTCCATCAGCCAACCAGAACTCAAATTTCATTCGTAACTGTCACCTTTATTACAGAAAGGTCATAGCTTTTAACTTCTACAAACCTGTTAAAATGCAGGTGCCTGGGGCTCAGGGATCTGCAGATTCTCTAAGCATACAGATAGGGCTGGTGCATTGTCTAGCAGCAAACTCTTGCAAAGGGCTGCTTCATCCCCTGAAATCTATGCGACACATCTCTAGGTCTTCCTGGTTCCTTCTGATTCTTCCCATAGTCTGCAAATCCCACTCAGGGTTCTAGATGACCTCCTCAGTAGCCATGCTGTTTGAACAACTCTGGGAAGGAGGTAGACGCATGCATCCACCAAGCAGCTAGGCTGTAGAGTGGCAGAGCCCGTTTGGTTTGTCTTTATTTTGTTTGGATTTTTTCCCTTTTTAACTCATGTATTTGTGGGAACAGGTTTGATTTGTTTATTTTTGGTTCTGAACATCCAAGGTTTCCTGAAGCTTTGCCCAGAGTGGCTATTGGAAGGGCCCTGGGGCCCTCCTGCCTCCCCTTCCCCGTGCTGGGATAGCAGGTGCACACTGCCATAGCTGGCTTTTACAATGGTTTCTGACAAGCTGAACACAGTCCTCAGGTGTACGGACCAAGGGCTTTCCCTGCCTTTATTGTCATCTCCCCAGCCCTTTGGCCGTGCTTTATTGGGAGGGAATACCTTACTTACTAACCTGCATTGGGAGTTAATGATGCACTTGCAGTGGCTCTGTAACCCACATCAGAAACCACAGGAAAGATTCTGCCACCATTGTAGAGGCATAGAACTGGAGATGACCTTGGCAACCTCAGCTGGTGGCCAGGCAGAGAGCAAGCCTATTGGGTGGTCCTTACAGGCTGCCTAGAAAGACCTTTGGTACCCGGAGAGACCAGGCCACCCGTAAGTGCTGCAGACTCTTTCCTGTGTGGTCTGAGGAATCATCTGTTTAGGCTTCCTTCTTCAGGCCTCATGGTAGGAAGTTAGGCAAAGTTTTGGAAGCCAGCTAATAGGTATCTGACCATGTCCTTATCTAAAGAATGCCTCTACACACTTTAGTCCTTTTAGAGGTCGCAGAGCCTGTAAGATTGTGTTTCCTCCCCAATTGGCTTCCATCAGTTTCTGTTCTTCTTTCCCTACAAACTGAAACTAGAATTATACAGTAGTGTTGGGGCGGAAGTGTGTTTCTAAAACAAGCTCAGGAAGTCACTTAATTAGCCCAGGAAAGGAACAGGGGGAAATCCATTCTCTCCAAACAATCTTGGATAATTGGGGTTTTCCTAATCTGTTTAGAGTGAGTACTCTGTCCCACCAGAGAGTGACCTGTGCTTTTAGAGCTGGTTCACAAGGGAACACCCCCACCTCCACATACAAACTCATCACCGAGGCCCACAATTCCATCGCTCTTCCCTCCCACTGTGGTGCACTTTACAGACTCAGCCAGATTTCTCCATATCTTCATTATTGGTGATTTCCATAGAGAGGGATCGTGACATATCAGGCGTGGGTCTATAGTCCGTGGATGCTGAAAAAAAGCAGGATTGGAACTTCAAAAGTTGCATTAGAGGAAGCAGACAGCTCTCTGACTTGTTTATAGGAAAAGGAGAAGTTCTAGAGTATAGAAAGGAAAAGCAAGGCAGGGTGTGGGTGGAGCTAGAGGGAAGCCTTCAGAGTCTGCAGCAAGAAGGAAGGTTCTGCAGGGAAATGAGAAGCAGTGGAAAGGATTCAAAGGCACACAGCTGATAGGCCAAACTGGGCATGGAGGCTTGTGCTGCTAATCCCAAGACTTGTAATGCCAAAGCAGGAAGATTGCAGCGAGTTCAAATCTAGACTACAGATTGAGACCTCTCTCAAAAAAATAAAAGCAAAAATGGACAAATACACAAAATAGATAACCTTAGTAAAGACTAGTTCTTGGCAATCCTCCAGGGGCATGCCACTTGGTACATGGCGATGTATTACGCAAGGGTGGATGGATGGATGGGTGCGTGAGTAGAGCATCTCAACTGTTGACCTCTAACCTAAAAGAATGTAAATCTGTTGTGTGTAGTTTAAAACAGGAACTTCAGAAAGTCCATAAAGCCCCTGAAACTGCCTGTGAGAATTTGAATGTCTGAATATGGCCCTTTTTGTTGTGGAGAGAGTTCAGAGAAAACTTTATCAGAATGGCTTCAACCCTCAGAAGGTTAAGGACCTCTGTTTCAAACCAGTCCTGGAATTACATAAGAAACAATTGTATTCATTCCCCAAACTTACCTCCCACATCCTCCAATGCACAGCACATCCACCTCCTGATCTGCCCATGACCTCATCTCCTCTCACTCTCTCTCCCCTTCCTGTACAGTTCATCCATCTCAGGAGCCTGGCTGGTTGGAGGGGACTCTGAATGGAAAGACTGGCCTCATCCCAGAGAACTACGTGGAGTTCCTCTAACCTCAAGCCCAGGCAGAGCTGCTGAGCTTTACGTGGTCTCCATGACAACTGCTGATTCTGGTGTTGTGGGCCACTTTTCATTACCACTGAGAAAGCAGAGAGCCTGATTGTTGCTTCCTGCCAACATGAATGCATCTGGGAACTTGTGTCACGTCTCTCCATGATCATCTCAGCTGACAGCACCACAGTGATGCTGCAAGAACTGAAAGTCAATGGGCAGAGGAGGCCATTTGATTTCCATAACCCAGAGGAAGTCCTGCAAAGCTGTTTTCTCGTGAGTGCCCTAAATAGCAAGCCCCGATTTCATTTCAACAGTCATCCAAACGCACAGGCTTCTGAAAGGAGGAAACAGGATGAGAATAGTGCTACAGAAAGTGTAGCGTTGCTGAGCTGGACAAGGCAAGGCAAAGAAACCAAGATGCAGGCTGCCTCTACTGCTGTGTTTACAGCGGGCCCTCCTTCTCTCTCCTTCCTTCTCCCAGAGACACAGTGCTGCAGGCAGCTGGACCTGTCGGCAAGCACACAGGATGGAGAGGTTGCCCCATTGTTTGTGTAAGGTCCAATCTCTCACCATCTCTTGAGCAGCTGTTGGCCTATAATCAGCAGAATTCAGTCCAGCCCTCTCATGCAAAGCAGCACATGACGCTCACGTTCTCTGCCACTGAAGGCTTCCATCACTGCCATCACCTAGTAACCATAGCAACCCAATCTACTCTAAAACTAAGCCAAAAATAATACTTCTCTTTGTATGACACCCCCCTCCACCAGCTCTGGTGGTTTTTTTTTAGAATGGTCTTCCAACAATCTAAAACAAAGATTAGACCATTAGGGCGGTCTGTCTGAGGCAGACAGGACAACAACTAGGGACTGTTTCTTTTCTTGTATATGTTAGCATCATCAGGAGAGGTTTGGAGAAAAATCTAGGAACCTGTTGAGATTAAACCCAAACACAGTCAGTACTTATGTTCTTCATGCAATGAGTTCTTGCTTCAGAGGGCAAGATGCTGCCTCCCTCTGGGCATCTGGCGGGTCCCCTCCTGTCCCCACTCTCCCTGCTGCCTGTCTTTGCCCTTGCCAATGACACAAAACAGCTCCCTAGAATGTTTTTGCTACTGAGGTCCAATGGAATTGAGAGATGATTTTTGGGCCAAATCTGTAGCCTGAATTTTAAAAGGACATCTGTATTCACTGCCACCCAGAAAAAGAGGGAATCATTAACTAGTTGTCCAGGCATGAGACTAATATAGACTAAGAATCTGGAGGACGCCAGATGTTGAGGCCTGGAGGCTAGGGAGGATGCCTTCTAGGAGAGGGAATTCCTGATTAAAAGGCACTGGGTTTATCTGTTGTGCATGGGAGACTACCTGGACATCTCAACATCACGTGACCTCCAAAGAACAGAATCATGGTATCTTCATACGTGAATGCCCTTACACTAGAAGGACTCTGGACAGACAAACTGCCACACTCTCCAGGAGCCCCTTGGATGGCAGTGTTGCTCCAGCGTGTCTTTGGCTCTGGAATTCCCTTAGGGTTCTTAAATGAAGAAAAGAAAAACTTGAATTGTGTTGAATTACTGTATCTTTTGCTTTTTTTAAAGATAAATGTGTAAATAGAATGATTTGGAATATTATATGGTAAAGTTTTATATTTGATATTCTTTAAGCTAGTTGCTCCATACATTTAGTCTTTTGATTGCTGAACAAATGTGTTTAAAAGGGTACAAGAGAGGCAGGGTTGATGAATCATGGTCACGTCCCCTCTCTGGCCCAGTGAAAGAATGTTTCCTTATGGTTCTTGTCGGTAAGCCTGAAAAGTTCATTGTATTCAGTTTTCTGTATCTATGTGTGATTCCAGGCTTCAGAGTTTAAAAAGTTTTTCAGGTGATGAATTTTCAAAGAACTCCCATCTAACAGTAAAGTGACACTCA